ATGTTAACCCTCCTCTTGCTTTTTACATGCCCTCTTATGTTTGCCCAAGCAGGAACCCTGCTTCCTTGTGCCTGCTGTAGGACCCACTGCATGTGGAAATACAATGGGAATACAGTGATGCTATTGCATTTAATTCAGAAAGATAAGAAAACCTCAAGCTGTGACTTTCCTTTCTGTTACAACTGAATTGGTGTTTGTGTGTTAACCTTCAGATATGTGGCAGGGACTTAGTGATTCTGTGATGTGTTTAGGGGACTTCAGACCAGTTTGACACTTCAAATCAATACTTTCCTAGATTGTCATTCATTAACAATACTCACTGCCAGTGGTTAGTCCTTAGTCACTGTGCACATAGACAAACAATTAGTCCTTAACAAACTTATTCTCAGTTAGCTGTGAATTTAAAATACACAGAGCTGATCCCATATAGCCAGCAGTAGTGGCTCTGGTTTTTTGTGGGTATGGATTTCAAGGTGCTCGGGTTTGAGAGCTATTCGATGAAGAAAGTCAAAACTGAAGTGAGATGTCTTCTTTCTTCACTCATTGCTGATGTTTTACTTTTCTCATTTCTTTTTTGGAAAAAAAAAAGAAAAGAAAAAAAGAAGGGGAGGAATGTTTCACATGCTCTTGATATAATTATCTTATTTTTATCACCAGGAGGTTTTTTTTACTTTTTTCTAGGCATCTTTTCTACTTGTTCTGTAGGATTATTTTGGTTTCAACAGTCACCTTTCTTGCCTGCTCTGTGGGCTTAGCTTTTCTCTTTTGGATTTCACTATTTGCCTTTATTTCCTGTGCTTCTTTTACGTAGCTATACAAGTTCGTTTGCTCCTTTGCAGCTACCTTTGTGGCATTTATACTTATGCTTAGGTATGCTACCAAATACTAATTGCTGGTTTTACTATTAGTAGTCTTTAAGTGCTGTAACGTGCTTATACATAGTCACTGATTATGTTGACTGAGCGGGCTTGCGTCTGGGTTTAAGGCAAGCAAACCTTTTGTCTTGCTTAATCTCCTTCTACTGTATGGATGCAACAGGCCACTGCTTTGGCTACATTGCTCGTTGGGAGATGGCTATGTAGTCAAGGCCATGACAGTCTAATTTGGAGTGTATTTGATGGCCTCCATATGTTTACATAATCTATGAGTTCACTCCCACTTAAAATAAAAATTAAAAAAAACCCAAAAGCACACACACCTAAAAAGAAAACCCAACACCTTGTCAAGGTTCGCAAGGGATACTCCTGAAATGCATTTCTTCAGATCTAAGTAATTTTAACTTCCTTTCATGGATCAGAAGAACCAGAACAGCTGCTTTCCTTTCCTGTGTGCTCTTTGGACATAAAGTGCCAGCAGCAATGCGAAGCGGGAAGGCTGCTCTCCTGCTTAACACTTCTCCTTTGTGGGCCAGATCATGAAAGCCTCTGTGCAAGGCTTGCAGGAGCTCATAAGGCCAGGGGGGGGAAGAGGCCCCCCCCCCCCCTTTTTTTCACCTTGCTACAGTTCTGAACCCCGACAGTGAGTCTTGGAGACTCATCCCCTGAAGAGGTGCTGGCACGTCCCCTGCATCTCTCTGGTTTGCAGATTGAGCTAATGTAGCACATACCTGCTGGATGATGGGTAGGCCAATTCTCTCCCACAGCAGCTCCTCCTGTTTCATTTTGCTGAGAAAGGAATGTAAACTCCATCTAAATGATGACAGTGCTCACTATCATGCTCTCTGCAGTGTTAGAAACAGAATATTGCTTCAGACTTGTTTCGTGAGCAATTTGCCATGAGCCATCAAAATTCCTGAAAATCAAGTGCAGTGAGAGAGGAAAGCTCTGAAATTCTAACCTCCGTGCATGCGTATTTTACATAGAGAAAGCTGAACGGTGCCTGAAAATAGAAGGAATCAAGTGGAAGGAATGAGATTTCCATTCTGGGTCAAAAAGGAAAAGCTATATTTAGATACGTGTCAAGTGACTGTACGGCACTCCAAACATTTGGGGTATTCCTATGCTTCTCACAGGAATTCAGAGTGCCCCCAATACAGGCTGAAACAAACAAGTCCATACAAGAAGAGAGTTCTTCATTAAACCCATTGATAAGAATTCCCTCCTCCGTTTATATTCAAGATGTAGTGAGGGAGAGAAAATCCCACCCCTAACATGTCTACCTGAGTCAAGATCTCAATCTAAGGTCACCTCACAGAGGATAAAGAAGAAAAAGTGTAGAAAAAGGCTGAAGGAAAGAAGAAAGAGGACAGAAGCTAGATGTAAAAAAAAAAAAAAAAGTGAAAGATAAGTAACTACGCATATCTAAGTGAGGGCAGCCAGAATCCAAGTGCTCTCATGCCTCCATGCCCACACAGGGTTTATAGCAAAGCAGAGCAAAAATACCCAGTGGGAATATATGGGTAGATAGCCTCAGTTGGGGTCCTGACTTTATTCACCCTCCATCTAGCAGAAGCTGTCCTCTTCCTGTCTAATGCAGAGGATGCTGCTCTCACCAGTGCATAGTGACTCCCCAGTGACTGTAGTGACGCACCAGGAGTTACAGCGAGCATGTGCTTCTAGGGGACAGCAGGGACAACCAAGGGCTTTGCCCTGAGACCTGGACTGGAGTAGTTAAGTTAGGTCTCTCTTGCCTTCAGTGCTGACCAGATACCAGAATCAGCACTAGAGGAGTTGTGTATTCTCCTGGTGAGGAGCTGAATCCAGGGGAGGACGTATCCTGGCACTTACAGCAGGCCAGATGGGACTTATCTCGTTCATAGCCACCATTTTGGTATGTCTTCCCATAGCATGCCTGGAGGCTTAGTCTCCATCTGCCTCAGTCTTCTGCAGGCTAGACATGTAATAAGCTTTTCCTTTTCCACATATCGCTTCAAGCACCATAATCCAGATCAAAATCTTAAGTATGCCATACAGTTTTGCTGAATAGAAACTATTGTTTCTATAAATGTAACTATAAATTTTCAAATTACTTACTTTAAAAGATGAGTTTTGGATTTTGTAGTGCTTCATAACATGAAAAATCTGTCCAGATTCCACAATACTAATTATTACTTTCTTCTGTCACTATATGTTTGTGCCTGTTTCTCCCATAAGCATTCTCCACAAATAGAACATGTCTGACTGCAGAATACACTATTCCTCAAAAGGAAAAAAAAAAACACAGTTAAGTCACTGTTTATTCTAGTTACAATCAAGTATCTTATTTCATCTCTCTGAGGTAAACCAACTTCTGAGTTTATCTGTTTGGGAATGCTCCAATTCAACCCAAATGTGATTGCATTAGGATAAGTTATGGGGTTAAAAAAAAAAAGCATTATTAAATGGAATTTAATAACCATTATGGAACTGTGATATTAGAAAGCAGTCATAACAATTGATCAGGCATTAAACATACAGATACATAGATTCTGGTATAGATGTAGGGTTAGAAAAAAAGATAGGGGTTAGCAGTATTTAGCCAGCTGTAAATACATAAAGTTATGAGGCTAAGCAGTGCTTAATTTTGAAGCTGCCTAGATTTTCATGACCTTTATAGCTTTGGATGACTGAATCCTATTTTTCACTTTGAAAAATCAGTGCTGCAAGTGATGCACTTGCTCTGATGCTCCCCTACCCCCTTAGCCAGGTGCAAATGGCTTCTGCAACTGACTCCTACCTCAGAGGCACGTGCAGCAATGCTGCTGTAACAACAGATCTGAGCTGTTGCCTGAGCAAATACATTTTCCCTCTCACATCGCTTATGAGTATTCAAGTTGCAGATATCACATGTAAGAGGTAAAGTAACTGTGCTCATCAGACCTCCTTAGGGTGCTTGCAGAGGCTTGGAAAAGTGCTGTGGTTTAATCAATCCTGTTTGCCTTCACGGGGATGTGGGCTCAGGCTTGGGTTGGAGGCAGTTACTGCTTCTCCGCCTTGGTTTTTAATACTGCTTCTGTAATTAGCCTGGCAGTGCCACCCAGAGATGCATGGCTGCGAAGCCCTGCCCGAGGCAGGTGCATGTCCACACTGGCTGAGGCTTCGAGGCAAGAGGAAAGACAGGGAGAGCTGGGAAGGGGCTGAAGGCTCCAGCACCCTTTCTATCCTGCTGGGAAGTCTGTAGCTGCCTGTAGCAGATGGCTGCAGGTTTCAATTTTTGATTTCCTATGCCTTTTCAACGAGCAAACATCTGATTGTGGTAGAAAATAGCAGTTCCTTCAGTTGTCTTCTATAGCGATAAGTCTTCATAATTAATTTTGTTTGAGAACAGCCAGAACCTAACTTCTTTCCCTTTACTCTTCACATCCTAGCAGTGCTCAGGTTTCTTAACATCTTGGGCTCTTAATTGTTTCCACCCGAAATAACAATAAAACACACACAAAACTTCTGCAGTTCACAAAAATTCTGCAGAGGAAAAGACAACGAATGACACCAGCCTGCAGAATTTAACAGAACTAGATGTAATTTCATGAAGACAAATTTACAGAAGAAAATTGGCCATTTATATAATTGACTTAGTTACTCTGCTTCTAAGCTGTTATATTGATGTACGTCTTTTCCTGTCCTGCATATGAAGTGTAATCTTTTCATTATTATGTATCCGTACAGCAGTACCCCTGACTGAGATCTCAAGGCCCTCCTGTTCTGCTTTTGTTCTTTTTTTAATCCTAGATGAAAACCTTTCAAAATAGTCATAGTTCCAAAAATTTTCACTCTTGTGGTTCACCAGTAGAGACAGAAAAAGGGATACACACATTTCTCATATATTATTAAAAGTAAAATATCCCTTTCAAATTATCTTTTCTTCAAATTATGATTCAAAATACCTTTTATTCTGCAATATTTTGTTTTATTCTGTAATATTCTGTAATATTTTGTTTTGTCTTTAAGATTGCTTGTTATCCAGGCAAGCTCAGGACCCAGGTTCAGAAGTTTGACTGCAGGATTGAGGGTATATACAGAAATGCATAAAAACTGTGTTAAGTTCATACTTTGACTAAATCCTGAGCTTTGATGCTAAAATAGCTAAGAGCTTGCTTCTGTGTTTCCTTCCTTTCAGAATGTCAGTACTGGGGCTCGGACTTGCAGCTTCCTGAAATGCCTTTTGACGAGGTCTTGCACAGTGATGAAAGTGCATACAAGTGGCTGTGCACCCTAAAGAAAGTAGGAATTGTGCTACTGACAGGAGCCCTGACTAGGCAGGGAGAGTTGGTTAAACTTGGCCAAAGGATTGGTTTCCTGCGCCTCACATTTTATGGGTGAGTGGTTGTTTTTTTGTTTTTGTTTTTGTTTTTTTTAATATCCTTGCTTTACCAGTGACGTAATCACCTCTGATATTAATCACCTCTGATATCTGACCTTTCTGGTGGACTAATTTATTAAAACAGAGTGAAAATTTTTCTTGTCTGCATGTTAGAAACCATGGTGTAAATTATACATCCTGTATAAGAGGATTGCTTTGTTGTCACAGGCAGGATACGTAATGAAGATCAGCAATAACATTAACTACTGAGAGGAGCAAAAATGCCTGAAAACAGAGGCCAAATACAAGATAACTACAAGATAGCCCTACTTATCTATGCCATGGAACAAAACGAACCAAATCCTCAGTCCAGCCCCCTACTAAAGAGTGGAAGTGTATCCGTACTGAAACTTTTTTTAGCCTGACTTTCAGTCATAGATAAGAGGTTATTGTCCCTGAGAAGAGGTGGAAAGTACTCATTTCCTGGCTTTTAACCAAGTCTGCTCTGGCAAGGCACAGCCAGCTCCACAGTGTGCAGTACTGTGGGTCCATGCAACCATGTAAAAGACCCTTTCCAAATTGCCATACCTCTGAACTACAACAGTTTTAACTCTTCCCTTTAAATACTATAACACTAGGACACTTTTCAGCTTGGTCTAGGTTTCGTCTTCCTTGGTAAGATGGGTAGACACCTGCTTGTGGTCCCAGGAATTGACACCTCTCTGAGGAGGAGATGTAAACTTGGGTGCGTGGCTGAAGCCCAGTGCCCCATAACTGCACCCCAGGGGTACCGGTGCCCCTTGCAACGTAGGCCTGGCACCGCGTGCTCCCTCGCGCAGGCACCATGGCCACTCTCCCGCAGCTCTGAGAGCTCCTGCGGGAGCTCGTCCTGTAGGACCACAGGCAGGAACGTGTAACTCATCCTTTCTATTTCGTGGGTGAATAGACAGAACCTCTACCTTCCTCATCATCTACTAGATGAGTAAACAAACAATGATGATTGGTCTTGCTGAGCTCTGTATCAGTGACCTCAATCTAGCTGATAAGCAAAGAAACAGTGTTATTAGCTAATGCGTTTTCCTGCTCCTCACCTCCAACTCTTGGGTACAATTTAGCATATACATCAAAAAAGGTGTTACATACAGATGTGTCCTTACATGTGTGCTTATTCTTTAAAAAAAAAGACAAAAACAGCTAGTAACATTTAAACATGGTTATTTCTTGGTGTTTGAATAGCCATCAAAACCAGAACATCCAGGGACTTCCATCGGAGAAGCTCCCTTCTCTCCCATGAAAAAATAAAAGATAATAAAAATTATGGCAAGATGTCTTCTTTACTTGGATCCCCCTAGTTCAAAGGATAACCAAACCAAATGTAAGCAATAATCAAAGTGTCTCTTTTGTCTAAAAAGACTTAAAATAAATAGAAGTGGAAAAAAAGTCCATCTTGCCCAGAAAGACCACTTTCCTTCTAGATTACAACACAGGAGCAAAGATTTACTTCCCCTTAACACGGGGAAGTAAACTTAACTTTTTGGTTTGAAGGCACATGTGAGCCCCACTGGGATATGCAATGCCAGTGAGGTTGACAAGATCAGCACAGTGATAACAGGGGAGATATAGTAAATCAGGATGTTATTTGTGAGATGAGGGGGAGGAAGGTGAAGGATAGGGTCTTTCTTTGTGCTATTATGCTCTTATTAAGACTTATTAAGACTTACGGCATCTGCATTTTGTCAAAGTAAAGTAGTTCTATAGTTAGCTATGGAAAATGATATAATTGATGATGACACCATCAAAGCTACTGGCCTTCAAACTTCTTGAAGAAGTTCTGAAAGGCAGAAAATTAGCTATTGCGATACAATAGCAACTTCTGCTAGTGTAGAAGTTGCTTCTGATCCAATTTCCATCCTTCATTTTTATGGTGCTTTCTGCGCATCTAGCTAGAGAATTCTGTTCTTAGGTAAACCGCTGCTCTCAGACACACTCACACATGAGTCCTGAAATTAAGTTACATGAATACAGAGGGGAAAACCTTACTCCTTAAATTTGTATTTCATATGTATGAACAAAACCGTCTATGTTTTTCCTTCTTACCTACTCTATTTCAATATTTCTGAAACATTCTGAAATATTTCTGAAAAAATATTTCATGATTCAAATCTTTGTCAATCCAAACCTCACCCTATGTCAGAAAGTTGCTAAGTTAGGAATCATTCACTAACGTATCGTCAGTGTGGGTTTGCATCTGAGAAACATGTTTCTCACTTGGGTTGTGTCTCATTAACAGATCATACGTTATTCCACTCATCAGCACCCTCTAATGGAGAACAGAAAAAAAAAAAAAGTTTTATTTTGAGATAGCTGCTAATTTGGTCTTACAAGATTCACCAAAGAAAATGTGCTGCAATAAAATAGAAGCAAAATCTGCTATTTCGCACGTTCGCCTCCATTAGGAACTTGTCAGTTTACTGAAAACTAAACGAGGCCCCAGCAAGAAACAGGTGTGGACACAGCCCTGTTTCCCCTTGATAAAATATGAACAATAGCCACCTTAACACATTTCTTAGGTTGAAAGTCAACCTGTTTGTGCAAGAGTTTTCCCCACTTAAAATAAGGAAAACTGGCTCAAGAAATCTCCTTGAAATTAGCAGAAACTTAAGTGAACTCAGCATATAGAATAGTTAGCCTGTGAGAATTACATTATTTTAAAATACTTTTTCCTTTGTCATTCAAAAAGAAGGCATGGAGAGAATAACTACTTTAAAATATCAAGAATATTATGAAGCTTGTTTTATCAGTTCCAGAAGCCGTGGTAAATATTTTTTAAACTTTAAAAATATATATATACAGGCGGTTAAGATAATTTGCTTTCATTAAGGTTTTTTCCTCTTTCTGCTTACTGAGACAGAAGGAAAAATGATTTTCAAAGATAACTAGCATTCAGTTATGTTCATCCAATTTAAATTAGCAGGAACAAATTCTCTCTACTCAACTTGGAAACCTCATCCAATGCAAGTAAATATTTTCTGCAGTTAAAGGCATTCCTAATGTCAAGCACTTATCTTTGGTAGGCTACTATGTATCTCATTTTAAAAAACTGCATCATTTTAATATTGTTATTGCTTTTCATTTCTGTTTTGACATGATTTTAACAATAGACAACAGGAAATTCATAGGGAGGATCAACTCCTGAACGTATCTTAGGGTGTTTCACAGCTCTGGTAGGTGTCTGAAGGAAGATGAAGCATTTGCTCTGCTCCTGGCCAGAAAGTGTTAAACTGCATAGCTGTTTTGACAATGAATATAGCAAGTAGCAAAAAATGTTATGTCCTTGTTAAAGCATACCACTAAAGGAAAATACATAACATCTACACAATACCCCAGAAAAACAAACAAACAAGCAAGCTTTAACATATATAATGGATTTGCGCTTGGGTTACAAAAGAACTTTTAAGAGCTTTCATAAGTTATGCTGGGCAAGGAACTGGAATTAGAAAAAGTGCTTGGATCCTAAAACTGAAAAGGATCTTTAGATCTTTTTTACTAAAATTCCTGACACGACAGCCCACCCTGTTTACCTATTATCCATTGACTGAACCCTGCAACATATTTTTCACTAAGGCATTCAAAAGTTTTTGATGTTTAACTCAACAGTCTCAGAAGACAAAAAAATTGCTTAGCAGTCTGTCTCAGCTGTTTATCACCCTTGCTGTTTAAAATTACTGCCAATTATCTATTTGAATTTTTATGACTTCAACATCCAACTTGTGATGACTATTGTATCTTCTGTGCTACATTTAAGAGATCCTGAAGAGAGTCCCTTTATGTATAAACGTGCACTGAGTATTAAGATATATATATTACTTAAGTAAGGCCAGGTAACGGTAGGTTCAGACTACCCTGAACAGACTTAACAGTTTATGAGTTGTGTCATCAGAATGTTTTCTTATTAAAAGTCTTGTGTCTTAATGATTCTTGCATAATATGATTATAAACAGTAATGTTAAATGAACGCTTCTGTTGTCAAAAGTCAACTTGAATGAATACTTTTTGTGTTTTTAAAGATGTTTTCAATCAAAATAATTTGTCTGGATGAGTTCTGAGTCTTTGATATATGAAACAGGTTTTAACACAGGTCACATCCTACACAGAACCTTCCCTCGCATTTTTCTGTTCAATACCAGCTCAAGGCTGAGGTTTGGCCTCAGTCTGCTCTGGCTGAACAAATAATGTTTACAAGTGCTTCCACTGCAGCAGAGTTTAAATCAGATTTACTGTTTGGTGTTGATTACAACTTTTTCTTAAATGTTTATTTAAGTATAGGGGTCTGCAGTAAAAGAAGGCAATTGGCTATGACATTGCATCGTGAATGAAAGGAAGAAAGGTTGCAAGTCTCTTTGCTTTTCCAGAAATATTTGTTAATTCATATATATATTGCTAAGGATGCAGAAAGAGAGTTTCAACATTACCAAAGTCTTTCAGTTGACTAATAATTCTGCACTTAAAAGAAAACATAGGAATATTTCAGTATAGTTTGGATTGGGATTTTTGTTTTGGTTTTGTTTTGATTTGCTTTTTAAATGTACCTGTAGAATTTGGAAATTTTGAAATTTGGTTTACATCATGCTAAATAAGCCACCATAGGTAGGTTTACTCTAGGTCATCTGATAGTTGTTAAGTATGTTTCTATGATATGTTTCAACACTAGATTAAAATCTCAAGAGCATGAGGTCAAAGAGAGCATGAGATTCAGAGATGAGTTTTGCAAACCAGTCTAGTTTTCAAGTAACTAAAAACAGCTCTGTCACATGGTGCATTCGACAACCTATATACAGAACAGTATCTAATTCCAAAAAAAATAGCGTATACTCTAATGCTAAAGGAAACGTGCCGTTATAAAGAGGTAGATTGTGCATGATACAGTGTCCATACTAGCAGAACCAAGACCCTCTGTGGAAAAGAACCAACTTTTGAACATGCTTTCTTTGTTAGAATAGGTTGCCAGCTTGCAAGGAGAGAAAGTAGCGGTATACTCAAAAAAATGGCAAGCTGGCCGAGAATTCACAGCCAGTGTGCACTGAGCTCAGTTTTGGGTAAGCGTGCTATTCCCCAAAGCTTGGCTTTCATTTCTCCAAATCAGAAATTACATATTGCTTAGGTGTCTCAAAGACACATTGCAAGGACTCCTTTCTTAAGGCTATATAACAAAAGCATGCACATTGAAAATAATGGTCATAGTAACATAAAGGTAAGCTTCCAGAATTGTACAGCTTAATTATCCTCCAAAGGATGTATACAAGAAGAGTTTATTACCCGATATGTGAACTTTGACCCAAAGCTCATTCAAGTCATTAGAAAGAGACACCCTTCCCCCACCACTGACAACTTATGGCCTTGGATGAAGTCCACGGGGAAAATCTTCTGTCAACAAGTGTCATCTGTTTGCATGCGCACCGCTTGCAGACATAACCGAGATACTGTTTTTGAGCATTTAGTCCTCAATGCATTGTGAATTCTTGCTGGCTTATTTTTTTGCTCTGTTTAAAAGGAGATCCCCTAATCACAAAGGCTGTTAATAGAAAGTTGGGTTGCAAAATATTAAACCTCCAAATAGTTGCTCTCTTGCCGCACAAATATCAGCTAAGTCCCCTTCCTCCCTACAGTGTACACACACACGCACACATGTCGCAGCATGACATCTTTAGCAATGTTCAGCTACTCTCATCACCCTCCTGGTGATGTTAATGATTAATATTTTGAAATGTTTCATTAAATAAGTCTTTGGACCAGGGTTTGTCCTGCTAAAAAAGGGGGAACGAGGAGACAAAATTCATTCAAGTATTGGAAAATACAAGCAGGATTGTGCCGTAACCATTGCGTTGAAGTTGTGAATGAACCTTAGCTTGGTCCTCAGTGTTACAGTGATTTCCATTTTCTGTTGCTTTTAGTGGTTTAAGAAATTATCCATAAAGCATTTTTAAAAATTTAGGTCACAAAAGTAGTTTCAGATGTTTTAATACAAATTTTTATGAAGTGGCAGCACCCTAAACATATCAGAAAACAGCTACAGAATTGTATTCAAATGGCTTAATAAACTAGTGTCATTGTGTAATTCTTTGTGTGAAATCTTGAGAAAGACTTTTTAAATGATTTTGGCTTATTTTTTGATTTTTATGTGATTTTTTCCACAAGTATTTTATAAGGAGCAAGCTTTTTGGTTTTGATGCCTAAAAATATTACAGATGAGAAAAGATTTTTGTCCCCAAAGTGTCTTTCCCCCCAAATAATCTGTTTCATCTTCCGATATGGTTATTGTAGCATCTGGTCGTAGTGTTCTTACACACTTCTTGCGCTAGCAAAAACTCTCTTGAGTTCTCCGTCTTAGCAGCAGAGTCTAGATCAGCATTTTACAGTCTTCTCTTCACCTCTAACACAGAAGGTCATTTGTTACTCACATGCAATTCTGAGGTGTTTTTTTACAACTATAATAAAACAATAATTGTTGGTAATTCCCCTGCTATTTCACTAGCAGCCAAATACAAGACCTACCAAATATTGTAAATAAAAAGATAAATTTGAAACTGGCAAGCTTGCCAAATAAAGCAAATACTTCAAGTGAGCCAAGAATTTTCATTAAAATGTAATAGTAATGAATACTGCCCTGACAAATGGAAAAAACACAAGCATTTTTCTTGCGTGGATGTCTGGTACATGCTACCTAACATGTCATTACTAGGGAAAATGGAAACATTATCTGTATCAGCTATATAGTAACATCAAGGAATTCCATAATTTTCAGATAAACCATTTACTTTATCAAGCTACAGAGACACAACTATATTAACAAGTTGTCAAGTCGTATTATAATTTATTTCTCTAAAGTCTTTTGCCCTGTAACTTGTGCTCCTCCCCTGCCCCAAAACCTTATTTGGGGTTGAAAGGCTCCCTGATCATCTCTGTGAAACAGTCAAACAGTCTGCATCCCTCAGAGGGCTTGGCTTCGAGAGAGGGACTTAGTTCACAAACCTCTCTGTGAATGAGACTTAGGGTTTTTTTAATAAAGCACAAGACCAGATGATTTAAATGTGACTTCAGTTCCTAATAGAACTATTTTCCAAAATTAAAGATGTAACAAACAGACCAGTTTTCTGAGCTCACATTGCCACTTAATGCAAAAAATTGCTACACCTGGCTGGTGCCAAATTTCCTGCTATGTAGCCTGTGCAACTGATGTTGAAATCTGACTCTAATTACTAATCCATAAACCATTGCAACCCGCTTTGCTCTCTCCAAGGGACTAGAGTCCTCTGACATGATCCACATTTTCGTACTTTACTTCTTGTGCACTTAATGTTAACAGCTCTCCCTGTGACTGAGTTAATACTTTAGCTCAGTTAATGCTTCAACAAAGCAAAGCTGATTTTTTTCCTATTCAAAGCTGAGCACCATATTAGTATCGCTTTGTCTATTTAATCCTTATTGACTTCAAGTCAGTAACTTGAGCTGTGGCAGCATCTTCTTGCGTGGAAGGAATGTTCCCAGGGATTAGCTCCCGTCACAAAATGCAACAGCATGAAAGCACTGGCTCTTTTTGGAAAACATCACAATGATTTTATAAAGTATTGCCACTCGAGCAATGGTGTACGTTCTCTCATAAACAAGACAATTAAAATGTATTAAAGTAGTTTAGAACCATTAAATGAAACTGGAGCTTTTTTAATTAAAGAGATAGTCAACAAAACTGTAGTCAACACTAATGACAAGGATGATGTGCTTGTTTTTGGCTGTAAAATTGGGAATTATGGAAATGTGGCTGAAAATACCATACTTGAGTACTGAAGTCATGCACTGATGAATAAGTGCTGTACCATACAATCTAAAAGATATTTCCCAAGCAGTTAAACACATTTGCAAATATTCAAAGGTTTTTTCCCCTAGCAATTTCAGAAATTCTGTTTTAGTATTTCGCTTAGTTCCTATGCTAAATACTATTCCTAGAACAAAAGTGTTTGCATACTGTATATAAATCATTTTAGTATGCACATTCTTTAGCCTGCTTTCTTTTTTTTTAAGTACTATTAAGAAGTAATACTTGACACACACCACCTGAAAAACATAATATATTTGGTCTGTAGCAATTCACAAGGGAAAATGAGTTTCATATTTTTCTTTTAAATTATCTATGCTCCTGTGATTACATGGACTGCATATGGTGACTTAAACTTTCCCAGACATATGTCTGGATCTATATCATGTATTTGCTGAGGATTGCCTTTCGAACATGTGAACTCTGTGCAAACAAAATATGTCATTCTTGGTCTTAAATTCTCCTGCGTGGTGTGTCACTTGAAACAGATTTTGATTTTGCTGCAATTTGATGTATTTATATCTTTGTTAGATAACTAAGTCAGGGTGGGGGGTTGGTTTTGGCTTGGGTTTGTTTTTTTTTTTTTTTTGTAATTGTCAGTAAACTTACTGAATGTTGTCAAATTTCAAGACAGATAAACTATAGTAAGCTAAATAAGGCTAGTTCTCAGAAAGAATATCAGAGAAAGGGAAGAAGTTACAAAGTCTTTCATCAAGGCGTTTTCCTTTAATGGCAAATATGCAGGAAATATCTCCCTGCAAAGTTTAGTCTATATTTTCCAAGATCATAAAGCTTTAAAATTAATTTTGGGGGGGAAATTCATAGCTTTAACAATTTCATAATTCATTGATAACATACTCCAAGGCTGATAATGAAAAGGTACCTCTTTATTAGTTTCTTCATCTGATCTTTGCGTTCAGTGAAGCACCACCCCGGCAAAGGAAATACATCGGTCTTGTAGGAATTGCACCACAGCCCCGTGTTCCTCTGCACGCTCAGTTGCTAGCATGAATCTAAGGTGGGTTAAAGCAGAATTGCCAGCATTGCTGAAATAATTCTTTGCTGTGAGGACACTGCAAAATCATTTCCTTGTAATTTTATGACATTTTTATGTTCGTCAAGGATGGAATGGGTCGTTTGCATTGTGATTTCATAGTTACAGTGTGTATTGTCTGCCGTATTGGCTGGCTGTTTTAACATGTTTTGTCTGTTTCCTTTCATTATAAAGACCAACTTGGCAAGTGCAAGACAAAACAGATGCTAACAATGTGGCTTATACAAGCGGGAAGCTAAGTTTTCACACTGACTACCCTGTTCTGCAGCATCCACCTGGGGTAAGAGGAACCTACTATTTTTTCCACAATGCGAAAGGGGAGAGGGAATTGTTCCTATAGTGTGACATATGAATTAGAGTAAGGTTAGTGTTCAGTGACTGTGAATTTTGGTTTAAAGGAGCAGTACAAAAATATAGATATTAATCTGTATATAACAATACATAAATACATGTGTAAGCAGTGTATACATTATAAGTTCTGCATAACACGCCATAAAGTTGGGTCCCATAATTTTCAAATGGAAACCCTCCAAGTATTGAGAACATTACCATATGGAAAAGAGAGTATTAGGGTCCTGTATCTGTTTTTGATACTGCTTTTATTTTATTGAAGAAGTTAGGTGTCTAAATGCTATAGTCAAGCTGTGAAACCGTAGGGTAAGTCTGTTCAACTGAGGAGGAGAACCAATTAGAGGAAATGTGATTAAGAAGTGGTGAAGAAGATTATTCTCTCTTCTACTAACTCAATTATGTTAGACACTTAGTCACCCTTTCAGAACAGATGAGACAAGGGGGATTCTCTAAAGCTGGAAAACCACTGCTTTAATCACAGGAAATACATTCTCACCTAGTCACTATCATATCAAAAGCTAATCCACATAATTTGTGAGAGAACTGAAGAGCAAGAGGAGCATGTACAAGGGAGCAAAGATAATCCTCCAAAAGTTTGCATCCATAAGTTCCATACCTGCAACTTCTCCTTCTAATGTTTTTTGGATATTTTGTATCAATTGTTTCTATAATTAAATAATAAGCCAATGTGGTTTATCCATGAGTAAATGCCACATATTTCAAACTAATATTACCTGTTAAAACGCATTTAGATGCTGTTCATCAATGTGGAATAAGAATGGAATAGGGCTTCATTAATAGGGAACAGATGTGAGTTAGCTCACTGTCTCGTCTGTGCCAAAGTTCACATACCGCTGTAAAATGTTAGAAAATGAGCCTAACCTTTTCATTCAAAAATGCTCGTCTGACATAAAAATACTAAAGCACTTTGTTTTTTTTAAATTGTCCTAAATGTGCAGTTTTCTTAATTTATCTAGTTATTACAATATTTGACCACTTAAGACATTTAATAAAACTATCTGAAATAATGTTTGCAAATGGATGATGGTTTGTTTCAGAGCCCTCCTATAAAAACAGCTTTAGGATTAGGATTTAGGAACAGGATTTTCTAGGTGTTGATCTTGCAACTATTTTTCTATGAGATGTCCTATTAAAAATATGATTATTAGATCTAGTAGAAGCACTAGCTCCCTAGAATAGGAAGCTACATTCTCATTTGAACTAAAAGCTCCCTCTGAAGGTTTTTGCAGAGCCATTTCACCATGAAATACGCTATTGCAGCCCTGCTCCATGGCGCTGAGCCGTGTTTGGCTCTCACGCGGAGAGGAGGCAGGTTGCACTGCCGCAGGAGAGCATGAGTTGCCTCGTGCTCCCTTTACGGCACGGAGGCCCAGCCTTGTGTCAGTCGGAGCAAGTGCAACACACGGGAGGGCAGAGAGCTGCTTCGCTGCATGGATAATCTAGCCTTTATCCTTTCCAGAGGAAGGAAGATTAGAGGAGGAATAGTAATTCAATGAACCTGGGCAAAAGGGAGACTGTCACAAACACCGTCCTCTCCTGCTCCTCCTCCTCTGTTTTTTCTCCCAGTGGTTTCAGAAATAAGTATATGAGCTTTTAAGGAAGGCTGGGTTGATGTGAGGAAGAGGTTTTGTTTAGTCACACTGAGATGAACTGTTACACTTTGCATGATCCTGAACTCTTTAGTGTCATCGGGAGTTTTACCTACCTGGGTCAGTAATTCAGATTTATACTGGTTTAACTGAGAGCAGAGTTTAAACTTTCTGCTCCATCTTGCCCATCCTGACAATTTTATATACATTGTGAAGTGAAATGAAACTTTCTTAATCCTATTTTATTATAGAGAAACGGCCTGTTGCCTTCTATGAGCCATGTTTTCCCCTTGTGAGCAGATAACTGACAATGGGTTTAGTTTCCACAAGAGAAAAATAATCCTCTTCATGGAGATAAGGAGGGAGACTGCAGTACATTTAAAATTGTATGACCACAGTGAACAGTGACTCAGAAAAGAAAAAAGCTTTGCAGTTGACTCTCAGGAAATAAACAGGGGTTTCGAGTAATTGAAGATATCCCAAAGGGCTTTACGAAGATGCTACTTTAATGTTATGCCTTTGTGATAATGGTGTCAGATAGCTGTGACACTGCAGCAATGCAAACTCAGTCTTTCACTTAAAAAAAAAAAAAAATGAGGGAATGGCTGCTAATGACATGTTAAATATGCAGACTAGTTCTTATAATGAACTGTCACTTCATTACAGGTTCAGTTTCTTCACTGTATAAAGCAAACAGCTGCAGGAGGTGAGAGTGAAGTGGTAGATGGATTTCATGTAGCCAACAAGCTGAAGAAACAAAATCCTCAAGCATTTCAGATCCTGTCCTCTATTGCCGTAGACTATACAGATGTTGGGGTCGACTACTGTGATTTTGCTATGCAATCCAAACAAAGGATTATAGAGTGAGTAGTTTCAAAAACACAATTACCTTGAAAAAAACCCCCAAACCCTGGTGTATCATGGACTGCATGTGGATAGGAGAAGGTCCGTTCATGCCACCTTGTGGGGAAACGCTGTTTTAACTTAGTCCTCGTTATTTTGTCTGACATTGCCAGTGTGTGCCTTGTTTCCTAACACTACAGCACGGTTTTCCTTATTCAGCCTTGCCATCCGCTAGCAGGAACTCGGGGTAAGTCACAGTAACTGCAATACCTTCTCGGTGCAAGCAAAGCGCTGCGTCCAGCTCTGGGCTCCCCAGTACAAGGGAGACATGGCACTGCTGGAGAGAGTCCAGCGGAGGGCTACAAAGGTGATTACGGGACTGGAGCATCTCTCCTACGAGGAAAGACTGCGAGAGCTGGGCCTGTTTAGTCCGGAGAAGAGAAGACTGAGAGGCGATCTCATCAATGTGTACAAGTATCTGAAAGGGGGGTGTCGAGAGGATGGGGCCAGACTCTTCTCCGTGGTGCCCTGTGACAGGACAAGGGGCAACAGGCACAAACTGAAACACAGGCAGTTCCATCTGAACCTGAGGAAACACTTCTTCACTGGGAGGGTGACTGAGCACTGGAACAGGTTGCCCAGAGAGGTGCTGGAGTCTCCTTCCCTGGAGATATTCAAAACCCACCTGGACGCGATCCTGGACAATGTGCTCTAGAGGACCCTGCTTGAGCAGGGGGGTTGGACTCGATGATCTCCAGAGGTCCCTTCTAACCTCAACCGTTCTGTGCTTCTGTGAAAGGGCAGCGGCAGCTGGCTTTATAACTGCGTTCTAGGTGCCGTTCAGCTGCGTTGGGCCAAAGAGAAGCCATAATTTGAAGCATTTGGATTAAGAGCTATGTTATAAACACCTCAAATTTAAATGTTCATAATCACTTCTGAATTTAAAAAGTTTATGCATCAACATTTAAAGTAATAGAATATAGATTTTTACAGCTAGTAAGTATGCACTTCCTTCTATTCTTGCTTCTCCTATTCAGTGCGAACTATCAAACTCCAATGCAATAACAACCTAGAGTGAAGGAACTGTGCCTGTGAGAGCATCCCTTGGCACAGCACTGAATTTCTTTGGAGAAACGTAATGAAATTTCACAGGACACTTCAGTTGTTCTTTAACCACGTTAAAATGTTTCAGTAACAACACAACAATGCTTTTTTCTGTTCCCTCTCTGTCTCACAGCGTAGATCACAGAGGTCAAGCAGTTCGCATCAATTATAATAATGCAACAAGAGACACGGTGTTTGACATACCAGCTGAAAAAGTGCGGCCATTTTATGCAGCTCTGAAGGAATTTGATGATTTATTAAACAGCACAGAACACAAGTTTGCTTACAAGATGAAACCAGGTCAGTGCTTCTGTTTGCAATGATTTTTCACATGCTTTTCCTGACAGTCAAAACACTTGAGCAGTTAGCATTATCCTGGCAGTGAAAGGAAATTTCAGTCTTTTGATCACCTATTTCCATTTCATACTGTAGTCTTACAATCATTTCATACATGGCTTCTGCTGTTGTTACATTAAAAAGAAAAAAAAGGGGAGGGGAGGAATAAATCCTATATATTATTAGTCCAATGTATCTTTACATTACAGTGGAAACCCACACCAAACAGGGAATTTTAAGTTCTCATATCACTAGCTCCACAGTTAGGAAATGTCAGATGTAAGGCTACTATGCCATCCTAATTCAGTGTCTGTTCATGAAACGATCCATAACAACATTTTTTTTCCTCTGCTTCATTGGATGCAGAGTACGGACATTATGCAAAATGACATGGCTTTCATTATGACACTTCAGTTTGCTAGTAGGGCAACATTGCAGTTACTGTAGGAATTTCCAAACATCTAGAAAATGAGGCAGATACATTACGGTGCAAGAAGTTGAACAGCACTGTAGGGCGTTCAGTTATCTTCTGCATAACGCTATCTTCTGCTTAACACCTGCATAACGCTAGATAAGTTACAGAAGGCCATGGCTGTTATGCTGCTTTTTTCTGGGCAGCTTATGCAAGATATCTGGATGCAGATTTGCAGAAGTGCTAAGTGCTCTCAACTTCAGCTGAAGTGGTACAAGGCTGTTTTCCAAACATAAAACATGCTGGGAAAAATGCTCTTTCCTCTTTAAAAGTCAATCTCTGCATATATTTAAATACTTTGTCCTTAATACGTTCTTTCGTTCTCTAAGTATTAAAGATATTAAAAGTTTCTCATCTCTCAGAGATGTTACAAAAGTAATTTAATCAGTGTTTCTGACTACCTCACATACTACAATGTTAGTACCTTAAAAATATCTATGAGGAAATTATTCACTCTCTATTGAGAGCATGCAATAAAATAATTTATAAGACCACATAATAAACAGTAAAATAAGTACTGCACATTACATTAGTATCATCCACCCCATCAATTAATGCGCCAAAAGTATGGTAGAGGGGAGGGAGGAAAGAAATAGTATAAGGTTATGTAATTAGAGGTTTGTCATAACGGTGGCATACAGGGGGAGAAAAATTAAAATGTCAAGCCAGCCTTAATTAGGTCATTTCCTAACTTTTGATAGCTGGACTTTGCAATCTTAAGATTCCTCTATCCAGGGTAGTAACGCAGGGTGCGTACAACATAGGAAGTACCAGAGCGATCCAATGAGATTTCTCCTAGTGGCTTTGGCCCCTTAGACGCTGAACACCTGCATAATGCTAGCGGCATATATGCATGCTATCAATCCCCACGGCCCCCCCTGCGCGAGGAGCGACCTTTCCCCTGCGAGGATTCCCACCACATTGCACTTCCCACTGTTGGCGCCTGCCTGCTGCTGGCTGGACAAGTCAGCAGCCCTCAGCTCCTCCCCGCTCAGCCCCATATCCTGCATCACCCCCTGCTTTAACATAGCTTCCTCCAAATGCAAAACGCACGGATAGATGAAGACGAAGAAAGCTCAAGTAAAAGGCAACTTACATGTAATGTATGTTATTTAGGTCTCATCTTTCTCACACAACTTCAGTGGACTTTATTCCTCCATACTTCCCAGCATCTGGGAAGAAATATTTAGTCTCTTTTACTGGCAGATGCTCTTTGTAATCAGGCTCCTTCTTATAAAGAAACTTTTCTAATTGTTTTGTCTAAGATATCCCAGCTGGTTTCTTCCCAGTCTATCTGTGGGATAAGCCAGACTCCTGGTTATACAACAAAAGAAGTAGAGTTCAAAAGGGACCTGCCCTCTCCATCTGAGAAAGACCAGCTAAATTAAAGCTACTATATAGTTGCTGTGTGCTTGCAGAGATCTCCAGCCTGAGCTATTTGAAATCATCACTCCCTAACCATTGACATGAATCGGGCAGATGTCCTTCAACATTATCTGTTGGAAGGAAGGAAGCGTGACATAGCAAATACTAAATTTTGTGCAATCTCGCTATAGGGGACGTAGTAACATTTGATAACTGGCGCCTGCTTCATGGTCGCCGAAGCTACCAGTCGGGAGCCGAAGTGACTCGCCACCTGGAGGGCGCCTACGCAGACTGGGATGTGGTCATGTCCAGGCTCCGGCTTCTGCGGAAGAAGGTCCTGGACAGGAACTAAGCTTTCTCCTGACTTGAATAAGCAAAACCTAGATTGTCTATGCTTAAAAAAAGCAAAGAAAAATATCCAACATATTTTGTTTCCAAAAACCAACATCATGAATATATTTTCAAGTTCCATAAGCTCCCTGTTCATAACAATTTAAGATTTATCTATGTCCTGACCTTTGAACCTGTAAAGCCATTGCTGCCTTGGTTAGTTCATTTGCTTTTTGATCTTGTAAGTAGTTTTGCATGTTGCTATTATCAGTTTATAGGGCTGATGGGGTATCAGAACACCTTGATTTACCATTACAAGTCTATCTATGCTCCCTAGAAAGCTTTTCTGAGAGGCATTACTTCTTGCATTATTTCTTGCATAAATAATAGCCAAACTTAGTTATCAAAATGAGCAATCACTGCTTTGGAGTTATTTCTGTATGGTCACCTTGCTAGATAGAGCCACACTTTAATAAAAAGTTCTCTTTATTCAACAGATGTTTTCTTCTCTATATTCCAATTTACAGGGTATTACTATCACAGCAACAAATAACCTTTACTATACATCCGGTCCTATCAGCTCACAACCATAGAGCAATCTGAGAATACATCATATTAATTTTCCTCTGCATTATGAATAGAAATGAATCTCAGGGTAGAGGCTGCAAATAGGGCTGGAAATAACATAAGACGCTGCACATAGATGTAATTAAGATCTTCAGGGCAAATAGACTTCTGAGGGAATTTGAGAAGAGGAATGCTGATTCCATTTTACAACGAGTAATTACACAGCACAGAGAGTCAGTTATTGACTCAGCGTCTGACAGAGAAGCAAGGATTGAACCTAGATCCATATTTGATATACCAAATACAAGAGCAAACCTTTAATAAACTTGGTCTGCAGGATATTTTCGCCTTTATACTATGGACTCTTCTTGAAGTCACATTCTGTATATAGGTCACCCTATGCATCAACTACTGCAGCTGAAGCCGTACACAATAGGTTAGCTACAGGGCTCCATCACTGTTTTTCCTTAATGTTGATTATGATCAGATGCCAATTTGAAAAAGAAATAATTTTAAAATACATGTTTTCAAACCCAACAATATCTTTTGCATACAGGGCTATTTTTTTTAACTCTCCGTATGGCTGCAGAGTTAGCAGAACACCTTCTCACCCATGCTGAGAACCCAACAAAATAACTACACCTCCACCCTCAAACCCTCTCTATTCAGCTGTTTATTTTCAAATTATTGCTTGGAAGCCAATTAAGTGTTAGTTTCCTCCTCGTAGGTTAGAACAGTAGAACTGTAACTATGGAATTAAATAACTATAGAGTTAAATATACTGAGAAAAAAAAAGTGAGCACCTAATGTAAACTTGCAAATACTCCCAGAATATTCTATTCATTATCTACAGTCAACAGATATCTCACCTTGATAATCAAACAAAACTAAGTAAGGATTTGGATGGGAACTAGCATTGTGTGGTTCAAATCCATTTATCTTTAATAAACAGTGAAATGTATTTGCATTAAAGTTTTGATGTGACACTAAGATACAGCAGAGCATTTTGGCTTTTAGTGGTTATTTGATTTCTCAGTGACTCCTTTAATAATTAACTTTGGAAAGATGAGGAAAATATTTTTGCCTTTGCTATAAAAGGGGGAAAAGATGGGGAAAGTCTTATACCTATATTCCTATAATATACCAACAGTATTGTGCTTTAACTGTGATATTTTGCATGTAACTTACTTTAGTGAAGATTACCATTCATAGCTTAGAACATCTTGGGATTCATACAAATGTTTAGTAGAAAGAGACATTCTCTGCTTTTATCCTATACTTTTCTAAAACCTTTTTTATTCACATTGTTTTCTGTTTATTAAAAGCTATTATGGAACTGATTAACCTGTAAGTCCTGTTACAAACTCATACAAGAGATCCCTAAAACTCATACCTTACATCTGAGATATATTGATTGTACTTTATGTACTCAAACCTCCTTGAACTATCTGCATTGCCCCAAGATATGAAATATTTAAGAAAAAAAAGGCAACTTTGCCATGTACATAGAGAAGATGGATAGGAGTGCTGCAGGCTCAAGGTTCCCAGTGGCACTATCACCATGCTCACGTCCTATTTGCAGTGTATAAATTCTTTGATGTTACATATAAACTTAATTCAAGTTATCCTGTGTTCAAGAAGTTACATCATGCGGAAGGGAGTACAAGTAATGGTAACGTTTCCTTTGATGGAACAGTTTTAGGTGTGGCACAAACAAGCTCTAACCCATGCAGCACCTCTGTGAGGTGCAGCATGAAACCCCACGTTAGCGGCGAAAGGGTTGAACTACTCGCATAGGCCCCGCATGGACGCAGAACAGGGGTTTCCGCCCGCAAGCTCCTGCGGCTCCTTCTAGGGTCCAGCTGCTGTCTATAGCACAGATTTCAATGAAGACAAGACGGTTGCACGTTACCGTAGTCACATTGGGAAAAGAGAGCACTTCCATAATTATCTGCAGAGTACCAGGTCCAGCTAAATATTGGAAGAAGCCCAAGATATTCTTTTTTTCCTCCCCTCCTTTTTGAAATCCACAGGGTTACACTATAAAGCTTTTATGTAGGTCTAGCCTCTGATCTGCTTGCAGGACCAATGTGTGCAGGTTACCCTGCACAGGCACCCTGACCTTCACAGACTTCCAGGCTCAGCTGTCTCTACCACCTCATAGCAGCAAGAAGCATGGGTTTGTGGCATGTGTTTGCAAGACTGAGTTCTCAAGAAGCTTTGGGCTGCACCCAGACAGCGCTGACAGACGTGAATTCGCTCAGCGCAAATGTAAGCCAGCTGTAGGCCAGAAGCCATAACGCTAGGTTAACTTTGGGCTGCTGGTGATAGACAAAGTTTATCAACCATCAGCCTGTGGGCAGCAGCTGACTGCACCTAGCAGGCTCTCAGCACAGGCAGAGAAACAAAAAATATATACATCTCACTTCAAGAGAGAAAATAACAAATGCTTAGTGTTAGAAGCAAGCTGGATTAGCTGGCCAGCTCTGCAACCTGACAATATATTGTTTTACGTATATGCAGATATATATAAAACATTACACACACATATACACTGCCATGTTACCCAGAGGCACTGAGGCAGGCGCAGTCCCGTTTCACATCTATTCCGCAGTGGCTATTATAAGGCCAGGAAGACACGGTCCAAACAGCTTACTCTGGTCACCTCCTTTGTGCCTAATATACTGCGTAGAGCACTGTACACGTATCTCTGACAGGAAGGCGTAGAACAGATTTGGCTGCTGTCATTAGGTCACATCATGCCAACATCTTTTAACCAGAGTACCCATAGACTTGATTACAAGGTAAAAGATCACAAAATCTTACAGCCAGGAGAATTTGTTCTGCAGCAATGGGAAAAGTGTGGGCTAGCTACTCCCTAACAATATGCAGAAACAACATTTATCAATTAAGTTTGAACTCCAGTGGTACTTTCAGTTTCATTTGCTGTATTCACTGTGTTTCATCACATGTGCAGTATGCTACTCCTGAAAAATGTACTTTTATTCTGCACTATGTTTTTCTCTGACACAAATGAAAGAAAGAACTTGGTGATCTTATCTGAAATTCTCCCTAAGGCAAATGAGTTCATATTCTAATCTACATGCTCATAAAGCTAACTATCATTGTAGGGCAAGTCCATATTTGAAAGTTTTGTGCTGTAACCTCAGAACTGCTTTCAGCAAAAGCTGACTTAATAAATATATCTTATACACACATTCTAAACTTATGGAACAAATCCTCCTACTCTATTATACCACTGTAGTAGCCCAAAAAAGGTGGTAAAGACCAAGATACGGAAGGAGCACAGAATGCATCCCCAAAAACAAACAAAAAAGGAACAACATTCACAACTGCTCATAAGAAATCCTTTTTCCACATAACATCTCTAAAGCAGGCAGAAGATTTTCTTTGTTGCCATGCCATGATACATGCCATGTCTTTCCCTCTTAGCTCAAACAAAATAAGCCGGGAGATCTAAACATGTGGAAAGCAGAGGGTGGTTTCTCTGCTGTCCTTTCTTTCCCAGCAGTCATTTAGATCAATAACTACTTGTGCTGGCAATAGTCACATCTCTTTCAAGTTATTTTTAGAAGCATTCAAAGCAGCAAAGATCACAGAGCAATGGACACAGAGAAGATGCAGCAATTTTCAGAGTATGTCATATTCAATGTCTGAAATCTTGGCTGGCCATTTTCTTTAATCAAACAGGAATGTTGTTATGAAAATGTGCTGTGGGCCCTAAAATGTCCTTTAAAGGAAGCGCGCGAGGAGCAGGGTGAAGCAGCGAGTGCTGCGGTAGCATACCTTTGAAATGCTCCTCCTCATGGAGGATGCTATCAGCTCCCTAACATGCGCTTGGAAATCAGCAGGGCAAAACTCTGTCACTTCTAACCGCTTAACTCCATAGCTCTCTTCAGTCCCTGGCTGTCTTAGATACCTTGTTCATGAGTAAGTTTCCCCCCACTGCTCCCTAGCAGTTTTGTCTTTACTTTAACAAGTAAATACAGCAGACAACAGCAGGTTGGAGGAAAACCCTACCCATTCATTTCCTTGGCTCCTCTACAGGATTGCCAAGGAAAACAAATGCTGCATAGATAGATCACATGATTTTTTTGGAAATTGCAGAGCTTTAGAGGGAGCCTTTCTCATCCTTTCCACCACACTACCCAGTGGGCAGTTCTCCTACAGACCTGTCCAGCAATGAAATGGATGCAATTTTGAGCACTGCACTTGCAATTCCTAGTGGACTTCATCACCCCCTACTCAATCCAATGCCATCCCTTTGCCCAGTTCACTAGATTCTTAACTTCTGGATATTTTCATCTGGGGTATGCTTTGTGTATCACTTACTTTTATCCATTGCCATTATTTCCCTCATTATCAGTTGGAAAAAAAATAATGTAATTGTTTTTCACAATGAGTAACTATCAAACCTAAAAAAAATCCTAAGTTTTGGAGGACAAAAATTGTCTCTTCTAGCGTTCTTAGCTCTTCTCCAGAGCTAAGGATTTACCTCCAGCTTTCTGATTTTCGCAACCAGATTCTTTTTGAGTAAGCAGATCCAGCAGAGATGGAACCATACACCCCAAATTAATTTCTCTTAATGCCAAACAATTGAGACAAAATCTGCTCTCAGCTATCAACAAGGTAGTGGGGTAACCCCATGTATTTTGGAGTCCAGCTCTTTATAGCAGCACAAGCTGTAGGGAGAGCTCCTTTCCTGCTTGGTGCCCGTTAACCAGTCGAGCAGATTTCCGGCTGAGCTAGCTTTCACTAAACTCCCTGTTTTCAGTCTCTTAGTCACAGCTATATAAATACAAGATAAAGCACAAAACCATCTTCTTTGCATGGGAACTGAATGAGGGCCAGAAGCTAATGTGCAGGATTATGCCTCAGGTTGAATCAGGGCTTTGGGTATCAGGTGTTCAGTTACTCTTACGGGAATTCAGACAAAAGCTGTGGAAACGTAATGAGATCAGCATCTTGTGAGACATCCGCTAAAACCTAGTGAGAATAATTACCACTGAGGAGATTACAGCCTTATCCGAGCTGGAGAAAGACAGTAGGCCCATTTCCATTTTTGGATGCAATCCACAACCAAGTCAGGCTTGGCCAAGTTAAATGCTCGTAATTGAAATTTAATCTTATTTAAATTCTCAGGGGCCTGAAAACAGAGTTCCAACTCTGGCCCCTTTCTGGCTGGAGGCTCCTCCAGCAACAGACGGGTGACCTGGCTCCAGCCGCTGTGGGGCTGCCCAGCACCTCTGCGTTGGTGTGCAGCACGAAGCGCACTCGCCTGGAAAGCACAACAGTCCGAGGGAAGCCAAGTTTCCAGGGAATTTCATCTCCATCAGATGGATAAGGTAAGTTAATACAATATAAAAAGCAATGTCAGATGCACTACCCCAAGTGCAGTTGCTCTCAATTCCTGCTCACCTTGCACGGTAATGCCTTGCACATTTTACTGCCATGTTTGCTGGAAAATCACTTTAAGGATGATTTATCACCTTACCATGCCAAGGAGCTGAAAAGCCCCCTGAAACTTTTTCGCTTTATGCTGACATTCCAGACTCAGTGATCCTTCCTGACATTTTCTAGCTTATTGTTCAAAGAGGTTTACAGAGGGGGAAAAAACTTTGCTTCCCCTTGGCTTGCAGATTTATTCTCACAAACAGAATCAGGATATCTCAAGGAACTGGGACAGCAAGCAAGATTTAAAACTGATTTGTCGTGTTTCCTTCTGGGTTTCTGTTTATTGCAGTATCCCTGGGCAAGCGGTGTTTTATCCCGACTACCAACGCAGCTGTCTGCTGCAGAGCCCTGGAGCCATGTCCTGCATGGGGGGCTGGCAGCCTGACGGCCCCCCAGGTGCTCACAGCACCGTGCCTTGTGCATGCGTGTGATCCTGACTGCTCAGGCATCGGGTGCTGTCACAGGGACCAGCTTAAAAAAAAGAAATTGCAAAATTACTTTAGGGTAATTAATGACTGCCCCGGTGCAGAGCAAGCAGGACTTCAGGAGCAGGACGGTCTCTTTACATTACAGGGCTCCTGTCAGGCAGGTTTCTAGCTCATGGTCCCGACAGCTAGTCCACCTCGTGTTATCATTGCCGCACACGGTGTCAGGGGAATGGCCCAGAAACCAGCAGAAGAGGCCAGCGTTAGCAAAGAATACAGATTGGTTTAATCATAACGCTTTGGATTTTAAGCGAACTAGCACCCACAGCTCTCCAGGGGATCATGTGCTGATAAAGCTGCCCGGTGAGAGGCGGAGGCTACCTGCAGCCCCTCTACAGCTGGGCACTCGCTCACGGCTGCACCGGGGCCACCAGGAGGGA